TGTAGCGGTATTTCATTATTTCTGTAAAATCACAGGAGCATCGCCGCAATAAATCCAATAAAGAAGCACTAATGAGATCATCTTGAGCGGTGGTAAAAGATTTTTCATCAAACCGCAAAATAACAGACCAACTACCAGTTATAAAATATAATGAAATGGATAACAAAATTACAGCTTCAGCCCTGCAGCTTAACAGGAGTTCTAATTGAACGATCTTGCTTGGTACAACTCTCAGCCATGATCCAGTATAATAAGACATCACTACAAGACACCAAAAAAACTTAGACTGTTCTTGAACTTCAACAAACCAATTCAAGCGTAAGGAAAACTAAATAAGGCGCAAAAAAAACATTGCACAAATATAGCAAACTACCAGTTGAATCTTGCAAGGAATTATTGTTGGTCTATCTTTGTTCACCGCATGGACCATTTATACGACATTCAATCTTTGTTCACTGTATTGTTCGTCGAAGAACTATAAAATGCAGCGTGGTAAAAAGCCGGAAGAACAAGAAAGGAAGAAAGAACTACTTTGTGACTAGAATAGTTGTATCACGAATATTAACTTTTGATTGAAGCCGAAATACCCCAGATTATGCTGATCAATTTAGTAAACATCTAGAGCTATAAAAATTTCCGGACAGAAAACCATTTGGAATTCCAAATGCTCGCTCTTTCATGAGGCATAGAATGCAAGAATTCAAAACACTGAAGCTTCAAATAGTCTACAGCAGCAGTTCAACTTAGTTCTGCGACAGGAAGCAAGATAAACAGAGAGGTTGTGAAGAAGTCCCATGAAAAAATAGGTCAAGTGAAGTGATTTAAACTCCCTTCTGATGAAATATAAATAATGAACAAGCTATTGCGCTTGTTTCAGCGTGCACATGTAACAGATGAATGGGGTACAACTAGAAGCAAAAAACTATCTTGACCAGGCCTACTGCTTCATTTTTGAGCTTATATATGCGTAAAAGGGGGTTGAAATTGACACTTTGCATCATGAGAGAGAATAAAAATCGTGACCAATAGATCTTGAATTACTCAAAATAATCTTTAAATACAACATTTTCAAATGTGTCAAACTTTTGTGATTTACGATGATGTCGTCAATCACCTCGTGTGAACTGATATTATTGACACCATACACGCATTCCTGTACATCGAGAATCCAAGGGGATGCACAACGTCACAAAAACTCTGCCAAACTATCCATACTAAGGTGCTTTTACAGGATCGACAGTGACAAAGTAACTGAACGAAATGCATTCGTAGACGCATAAAACATAATTTGGTGATCAACACAGATCACATCTCAGCTGCCTGTAACCGTGCCCCAAGTTGAAATTAACGCACCATTGATAATGGATAGACCTTTATGATATATTTTCACCATTCTTTAAGGCATTCCTGTTTGAGCACGATTTGGGAGTGTCATCAACGTTGTTTTGAAGGATTGAGTAAATCGGTTTTATAGTATTAGGCAACTTTCATTATAGAAATGACCGTACTGCCTTAGTGCATCTAAACGTGCTTACAGCTTTGCGTCCTCAAACCATTTATATTGTGTTTTGCACGACAAATATTTTCGAGAGTTTTTCAGACATAAATCATTTCCATAAATTTCTCAGAAGGCTCGAACACACCACCATTACCAAAGAACTTATTTCTCAACTGGGATTTCGTCTCTTTGGTGAGGTTAAGTTGTGCTGGAAAGCCAAGGAGCACTGTACAACTGTCCTGTTCTTATTTGGAACCATCTTTTATGCATACCTCAGGAAAACTAAGAGAGCTTCAAACCCGCAACCCCCCAGATAGCGGGTAAGCACTTGAGCATTCAGTCGTGAGCAACCAAACGGCAATATGGTTATCTCTCACCTGATTCTGCATGAATATGGACCTATTTCACAGGTTGCGACGCAAATTTGGGTAGTTTCAAATGAGATTACTCCTACTATCATCACAAGTTTTGTGTTGTGAGGGCATATCTATCTAAATAATACATTCTTGCAGCATTCGGTAAAACTGTTTTTTCAGACGCTTACCTTCTCACTTTTTGCGCAATTAACGAAGTAATTGCTGTCTAACTTTTGGCATGCCCTTGGACATTTTGTTATGGTCACGGTCAACGACTGCCTAGTTTGTATTGAAATCTTGTCAATCAGCAACAGAACTGTTATACCTGTTGTGCAGCATTGTGGTATATCCTACGGTGGTGGGGAAAATAACGGTTTGGTTTGAATTTTCATATGGTTTGATTCCTGAGTGGACCAGTTGCCTCAGCCTTGGCAAAAGGCAACGAAACGATTCAGATTTCTGCTGCGTAGAGGAGGTTGTTCATGGTGATCTGTAGAGGGAAATTACTGGCATCAAAAGCCCAAGGGTTTTAAAGGGTCCACGTGGATCACACTTGGTTAATGTGATCTGAAGGAGTATTGTAATCATAGCTGTTTAGCTCTGTGTATCGCAACTGTCATGCGCATGGCATCTGGCCATGAGCTCTTTTTTATGATGGGTTAAGGATGATCAAATCTATTGTTACTAACTGTCAAGGATAATTTCCACTGTGTTTTCATTCGTTTTTTCTGTTCACAACCTCAACCTCTGTGTTATGGTATTAAAGGCTATATGAAGATTGTGTTAGTGTTGTATGTATGAACAGACGCTATACAAGAAATGTAAACCCTACTCAAACGGAAAGTATAAGTTTTCCGTAAATATTATCCAAATTCAGAGGTATGTTTGGGGAAAACGAAAACTTTGTTCATCTCGGCTTCTCGTTTTTACAGCGTTGAATTTCAGACAACTCGTTTATGTCGTCGTAACAACAGCATAATGGTGTCATGGTATTTTGGTAAAGTCATTTCATACACAGCTTCTCAATGTGGTACCAGTTTAATGGCATATGCTACTGATGGAACATGCAAGTAATATCCGCTCAAAGCAGTTTATGACCTCATCATTGCACCTGTTCGATAACTGAGTAAGAGATTATTGAGTTGATTCATCGTGTTTGTCCACTTAAGTCAAATGTCCAAACAATGTCCGGGGAATATGAGTATTTGCAGTTATCCTGATTGCGCATCTGGATACAGAGAAGGAGTTTTCCAATCAGGACAACTCTGATACTTCACATTAGAACTTGAATCACTGCTTAAACTAACGGTATATTCTGTTTTCCATATACCTTAAAACCTGAAGATCTGACGTCAGTCATACGAAACATCTTCTTGTGTTCCTTCTCAGCTTGTGAACAAAAGCAGTCGTTGCCGGGTACTAACTTTAACTTAGTAGACATAAGTTATATTTCAATTGATAATTTATTTATTCTCCCTATAAATTTTGCAATATAACTTTCTCGTTTTGCTCAGGCGAGTGATTTTTTATGACCCTGTTTTGGCGGCAAAACAATTCAGAGAACAGACTGAAGTTGTTCAATGTCTGAAGCATCTGTTAACACGAAAGCTGTCGATGGTGTCCGAAATTTACTCCTTGTATTTTCAAACAGTGACCGTGATCCGTTCCAAAAACTAATGAAGCCAACATACTGAGATTGATGCTTGTGTTAAGCTAGCACTAAGTCCCTTCCCCGTCCACCTTTATTCTTTCCTTTACATTAAGGCTTTCAAATAAGTCATGGTTGTACGGCAGTAAAGCATCGGTGTTGAACAATGATGTCATGCTGTCGATGATGATGATGATGATGATGATGATGATGATGATGATGATGAACATACTGAGAAAGGTGGTCAGAGGTTGTATAGAATGCTGGATCGCGTGTCGATACAGGACGCAATGTGGAAATAATCGGTTTTTGTATTCAGTAGTGAGATATAAAAGGGAATCTTTGGTCACTTCCACTGTCTGCTATCAAACATTTAAGATGACGAAGACAACAACCATTGGAAGCAACAATTCACATGAATTTTTGGACTGAAGTTAAAAACCGTGATTCTCGCGTTCACCACATCGTTCCACGGCATGTGTTTTGGAGATTTCGCAGCACGGCACCAAAAATAATCGTACGAATGAACTTCATAAAAAATGCTGATAATACAGAATGTGTTGTTTAGTGGTTTCTCGCTTCGGCCAGCTTGAGTAAGCTGGCAGTGTGTCTGTTGATCAGTAATTTAACAGTAGGCCTGAATTTATCAATGAAGAACACGTTCTCACACGAAACGGAAGTGAAGTGCAACAACCTGGGTGCACTTTGTTGGCATGCTCAGTGTGGTTGTGACTTAGCATGTTGATTCGCAATGAGGTGGGTGACTGATGCAATCGCAGCTGATTGCTGTTTTCACGTGGTAATTGAATCCATCTGTCTACAGTAGACCTTACCTCAGTTGCTTGTCCCAGACGAAATTTCGGTACATCGTAGAAGCGTGGCACAATACACAATGAGGTTGCTTCACACTGAGTACTTCGATCACCTTGTGTTCTTGTCACCACACTGTGTTTTTTATCTATTTCCCACATTTCTCAAACTGCACACACTACCGCCACTCATGCTTGTTCCGTGATACCCTAAATTCTAAAAGAAACATGTTGAATGTCCCGTAGATGATAACTGAAGGCTTCTTCCAGATAATGATCATCATTGGGCATAAGATAGTGCTTTTTTCGGTAAGGGTGATAAAATCTCGTTAAGGTTCTTTGTTTTCGGTGCTGGATTTTTTCTATTCAGATTCAGCACTAGAAGTAAAAGGGGAATATTCTTTAACTGTTTTAGTTTTTATCTCATAGTGGAGCCTTATATCAAGCAAATCATCTCTGAAAATACCCCAGCAGACCTACTAATGGTTCCGGTCTGTTCCAGGTAAACAAAATAATCGGACTGTTTCTTCCGAGTGCTCCAGCGTATTCGTTTTTATTCAAACAGTATGCTTGTTTTGAAGTCCCACCTCAACCGTGTTGGGACCTTTGCAACGCATTTTCTCACTGTCATCAGGTGTGATCAGCGAGTGTTTCTGAACAACGGTATGTATTCCTGCATGTCCACCCACATGGACAACGATCATAACGTGGACTCAAGGCAAAAGCTTGATCGTAAGCGTCTGATAAAAGAAACTAAACGTAAATTACGCAGGTAGTAGAGATGGAACAGCCAACGCATTGTGTGCAGGATAAGCTAAACAGAGAACAGAATAAGATGTGGGTTATGAAGGCATGTCTGTCTGATGGTATGCTAGATTAGAATGTGCTTTTTGGCAGGTTTGTGGTGTGAAAATCTCACGTCAGTTTAACTGAGAACATGGCATGACGAGGCATGTGTGTATGTGAAGGGTGATATTTAGGTCCTGAATAACCACCGACATTTTTCCACATACTATGTGTAGTCAGGAAATTTTAATAGCAACGTAACGACTCGAACCACTGGTGTCACAGTAAACATATGTGTTATGCAATGACCGAGGTTGCAGTTTTTTTATTTTTCGCGAAATCTAGCAGGTTATGTGCATTTGTCGGTGCCTGGCATTCTTCTCGCGTGAACATTTTTGGGACGCAAACAGAAACCAATCAGTCTGAAAGCATTGACTGAGGCCTTTGGAAATTGCTTCCGGTGATTAGATTACGCATAACAAGGCGGATATTTTCTAAACATTTTCACCCTGTGCGTTTTTTCCCAAGTAATATTCTGTAACTGACATTTAAAGATGACATTTACCACATATGTGTTTCTTGCAAATCGCGGCCAATTGACGGAAAGCCAATGAGAGCATTACCGTGATAAAACCTTCAACACATTTCGGCGAAGTCACTTTTCGGAGGAGCGTTTCATTGCAGTTTTGAATTTCATTGTATACCTGGTTACTTTCTGTTAAATATTCTACCGGCACTGCTAATCAGTTGATTAGATTTTCATTTTATTTAGGCAACTGAATGTAATTCCAATCCAAGTGAAGAATATCAGCATGCTGAATGTTCGCTCTCATCTATGCGAATCATGTTACTTCCAACACACCCAACAACACTAAACACTGTGGATTTTTTATATTTTTGACGCCATAGGTAAATACTCGGTTGTTGACGGCGAACTGGGACGCCAGAAGCGAACCTAAGTGTAAGCACAAACTCTAAAATCTGACAAGCAGCTCTTTCATATCGCGCAAAGTACGAGTCCCAGCAAATTAGGAATATGATGTAGACGCGTCATCTGACACGCACGCGGGTCTGGCCTGAATTTTTTTTAAAACACAGGACCAAAACTGGTCTCAAGCGCATAATTATTAGTCTATTTGACCAATCAATATAGATTTTTTAGATGCAGCTGCGCACACTTGAAGACTAGCTTTGAGAACTGTACGAATCCGTGGTTGCCCGAGGGCATTTAATTACTCCAATCCAAGATCTGGTGCAGCAACCTAATATGTATCTGAATGTTGGCTTATAATACAACACAGTGTCGTCCATCAAGGTGATTCATGGACGGCAGCTCGAGTTCGCATTTTGACTACGGAAAAATTCACGTTAGTTTGGTTTTGCCTAGCCCTTTGGATTATATTCCTCCATCTTCCCTCGTGGCCAAGTAATATCAGGAAATTAAAGCAGGTTCGTAACCGAAGAAACAAATGGGAGTGCAGTAAGAAAATTAAAGCAGTACCCACCCAAGCCGGAAGGACAAGTTCGCTCAAAGACTGGCCGACCTCAAATCAAGCCCCGACTTAGCTGAAAAAGGGATAACTAAAGTTGAACACCAACCTAAAATGAAGGGCATCTGAAGAAGGAATAACAATGATGATGCGTGCGAGGGGTACTCACGCATTCGGATACCGACTGGCCAGTGACGTGAAGACAGTAGTGATTGTGCCTTATGTGCAAGACACCTACAATTCCGGCCTCCGTGGTTTTTGTCTCTGGTTTGCATGTAAAACTACGCATCAAAGGAGGACTGCTCCCACCTGCAAACGACCTTTTGACAGGGTGAAAACTTCCTACCATTTCTTGCTACTAAAAAGCACTCGGAAATATTGGTAGGTATGTTAGCTTTCAGAGGACCAAATGAGAGTTCAGAATACTCCATGTCGATGCACGGTTGACCCACTTGGAGGGATCATATCAAGTATTCTTTTGAATGAAGTTCATTTCGTGAAAAGCCTCCATAAGTCAGTTAAAATAGACTCCTTTTATTGGTTGCTGTGTTTTTTTTTGGGGGGGGGTCTTCTCAAAACCAGACAGCCAAAATTATAAAGATATAATTGCATCCTCAATTAAATCGAACCTAAAAGAAAAATGTCACCTAATGAGATGTGACGATGTACACCAAAATCGTCACCTCCCGAATATTTGTTTATTACTACTACCACTACTACTACTAATACTAATACAAAGGCTGTCTGTTACAGGACACAGCACCCACAGCAGACATCGCGTCCTACATGAAACTGTTTTTTGCTATATCACTTGAAACTCCTTTTAGCGACCATTTAATAGAACTCCCTCCCAGATGGGGTTCGTTCCAGTAAATAACTTTGGGTGATTTCCACAGAGCTTAACAAAACCGGCTGACTTCCACTGAAGAAAGATATATTTGATCAAGCTTAAGGTGACATGTTCTAATCTTATGCGGCAATCATACAGCCTTTTGAGGGACACCCTTGGCAAACCAAAATGGGGCATTTTTTATATTGGCCTTGATGGATGATGATGACGTGAAAGATCTGCTGCGTCTTGAGTTTTCGATTATTTTGCGTTGTTTTTAACACGTTTATGACTCGTCTATAATCAGTCCGAAGGTTCATGATAGTGTCTTGGATGGATTTTTTTCGGACTGTATCAGAAAACCACACAGATTTTATTGTGCTATGATCTCATGAAACAAAACCTTATTGTCTTGGTGGAACACGAAAACAAGTCCAGTTCATCATTCATTGCCCTTGTGTAATTTATGTCAATAAGGTAATTTTTTGTTGGAAACAAATATAAAAACCCTTTTGAACTACTGAGGAGATCGTGTTGAGGTCATGTGCAGGCTTTGGCTCACAACTTCATCCGAGGTTTGTAAAGTAGCGACCTTCTAACAGAGTCGTCCAGACTCTTACAATTTTGATGTTAGTGGATGATGAATATGGGTCAGTTAGCTGCTGTTTTAACGAAAGTTCACAGTGGAAATTCATCATTGTATTATGATTGTATTATTATCATCAAAATTTGAAGCACATAAATAACTATTTTCTCGTGCTGTCCGTAAGTGATGTTCCTCTCTCTCTCTCTTGGGAGACTGCCGCCGAATGGCCAGTAAAGATAGACTGGGCCGGTCTCTGTGAGTAATCAGTGTTCGGGGGTCTAATGTTTGTAGTGGCAAACTTGAGAAAGCTGTCAAGTTATTTGCTGTGAGAGTATTCGGCAATTAATGGCTGGTTTGAGGTGACATGCTTTGGAGGAAAATAGTTGCAACCTTCAGGGAAAGGATGGGGCATGACAATCCGTTTCCTGTTATTCCTGATTATGATCACCTGAAACCTTGAATTAGGGAATTTTTAAATGACAATAAGACAAAGGAAAAGCAGCGTGTTGAGTTCTAGAGAGCTTAATACAGGTGCTAAATCAGAAGACGATTCTTGGTGAGTTAACGGTGGATGTCGTTCGACTAAAATAACTGAAGTATTGCAAGCTTCCGAGCCATAAGAAATAGCGTGGGCACGCTTCTACTCAGAAGAAGCAGGCTCCTCAGAGAGGTCACAACAACATACATTTTAGCCAATACCTAACGTAGGAGCCATTCTAATGGAGGACGAGTTCTCTCTAAAACAAACTCACTGTAGTTCTCTATGGAACTGTCGCTCTCTGCCTCCAAAATTCTACAGGTGTAACGGTGATAATACTGATGGGGGAGGCATGCGAGTAGTATGCTTTTTCTTTAAATTAGCTTTGCGTCTCTTAAAAAGGGAGATCTGATGCGGAATTTGTGGAGCCACTTTGTAGCATTTGCTTGGAGTTGAGCAACAGTCAATGAATATACAGGAAATTTCAGGAAGGCGCGTTCAAGAGAAGATGGATGTTCAGTTCTTGTAAATAAGATGCATATGAGAGTTTTGTTCCCCCGTCCAGTAGTTTGTAACTGGTCAGTTGGCACTTTCCAATAAATTAATCCGCAGTGAAGACCTTCTTCCTTTCACAGGTAGCTCGAATCCCGAGGAAATAAATTCAAATAAGTTTTTACAATGCAGTACTTACATCAGCACTTACCACATTTTCGAAGGTGACTGGCAGCTATCCTCTGTAAAATGAATGATTGTAATACCTATTGCTAGCGCATGAAAACAGCTGTACACTGAAATTTTCTGTCGTGCCTATAAAGGCAACAGGTATCTCCGAGAGTGGACACAAGTGCTGTTTTGCTTTCATTCCCATCATTATGAGATTCAACCTAAAGAGTGTTTTTTCATGGTCCCTTTAAAGGCCAAATTCGATACATCTTGATTAACATGGCTAACGTTTTGTCTTATCAAAAATGGATCCATTTAGGCGGATACCCTTTTGGTCATAGACCCATAGAAACTAACCTACGATGTATGCACGTAACTATGTCAAAGGACAATATCAGGAGTAATTTATTTATCGTGTAATCTAGCTCAAACAAAAGAGAACTCAGGTCTCTGCTGATTACTCCGAGGAGTTGCTTTCGTTTTCTTACCGCAGGCATAATGAGAATTCTTTTGAAAAATTTCGTTCGCCTTCCACCCACCACCCATGTGTGAGAGTTCCATAATAGATTCACAACAATCTAGCATATCTGTTTTAGCCCCAGGAGGCTACCACTCATGGTGGGGCTTGTATGATTGTTCTCCCATAATTGGCAAGTGTAAAAACAGTTTGCTGCAACCATAGGCCCATACCGTCGTGAAGGTGGTCCCTTGAAGAGAGGAACGTACATAAAGATATAGGCCAGATACATGCGTTCGCCCATATTCCGCCATCTGATGATGATGTTAGCCGCACTTCTAGCCTTTACCTTAAAAAAATGATTGCGAGTAAGTAGCATGTCTCGCAAATAAATGATGGCCAATCTCAGATCCCATCAAAGAAATGGAGTCGACCACCTGCCG